CCTCCCGACGCTTCATGAACGTTCTAGAAGCGCGTTACGTGTTACTAGCGTCACGTGACCTCCGCTGTCGTAACAATATTGTTTGTGATGCCATTCAATAGATGATTACACATTTCATAAGCTTCAATCACCACTTCTGCCATTGAGATCTTGTTGTATTTCAGCACAACAGATGACACTATTGTATTTATTATTTCGGTCACATACATAGATTTATAGATGGCCACGCCATTACTCCATTATAGTAAGATTGAAAACAAGGATACCTAAGACCGAATTATTAGTAGCAAATTTAGTTTCAACAAATGATGATATTTTAAGACGGAAAATTTTCGTTTTTTTTTCTAGATTGTTCGAAAAACGCAATCATTCTCTAAAATAGAAATGTAATGTTAAAGAACATATTAATTTGTATTTTGTTCTGTAACTCTAAAATCTTTTCAACGTTATTATCACATTTTCAGGAATTATATCTGTCGAGGCCTACATTAACAAAAATACAAGTGTGAATGAAAAAATATTATTATGGAAAATAGGCCCCTAAAAATTTTGAAGAAAAGTAATTTTTATTTCCAAGATATCCTTTCTCAAAAAATGATTGGGTCGTTGCTATTTTTTCAGTATCCAGACTTTTCTTTTGGGTCGTTGCTATTTTTTCAGTATCCAGACTTTTCTTTTGGGTCGTTGCTATTTCCATTATCCAGATATTTAGCTATTCATGCGATTGATTATTATTTGATCGGACATTTCACCTTTTGCCTTTATTTTTTAACAAATACGCTCAGACCGTTTGATTTCGTAGAAATATATTAAGATATTTGTGTAAAAGTTTTTTAACCAATTTCTTTTTTTTTCACTCAGTTACAGAAATTATTTCACACATATATAAACAGCCATAACGACAAAAATTTATAATAAATATACTGAAAATTGTACAAATAAAAATAAACAGGACTAGTCAGCTTCATACGTGATACTGCGGTTCCAGTATGCTCAAAACTAAACGATTACACAGAACCGAACATTTAAAACGAATTTACAAACAGCCCAGGTGGTTAGGGCGCTCAACTTGCAATCTGAAGGTCGTGGGTTCGAATCCCCGTCACACCAAACATGCTCGCCCTTTCAGCCGTTATAATATCACGGTCAATCCCACTATTCGTTGGTAAAAGAGTAGCCTAAGAGTTGGCGGTGGTGATAACTAGCTGCTTTACCTCTAGTCTTACTCTGCTAAATTAGGGACGGCTAGCGCAGATAGCCCTCGTGTAGCTATGCGCGAAATTCCAAAAACAAACAAACAATCAAAACACCATTAAATCATATCCGACCTTAAATCACGAAAATAAAATAGCATAAGCAAAAAACCGATAGTTTTAAAGAACAATTGAGAAAAATCTTTAAAACACATAATGACCCAAACATGGACACACTATTTTAATACAAGTATATTGAACAATATAAACACACATACATTCCAAAATTCCCAGTAACAACAAAATATTCACAAAATTCAAACAATGATTATGTAAGTAGAATAACAAAATTAGAAGTAATTACGTCTATCAGACAAATCAAAAATAAAGCACCAGGTGAGGATGGAATACAAGCATTTCTCCCTAAAAAGGATATTCAAACATTTTTTTGACCATTTAACAACTTTGTTTAATTTATTCCTCAACTCTGGTTATATCCTAGCCTCTTGGAAGCAAGTTAATGTTCTTATTTTTATAAAGGAAGGCAAATCAGCCAATAAACCAGGAACCTACCGATCAATCAGTCTAACTAGCTGTGTAGTGAAAAGTTTAGAAAGAATTGTTACAAAAGGATCTCCACTTTTCTCGAGATCACATCAAAATTACCCGAAGTTCAAAATGATTTCAGAAAATTTCGGCAAATAACAGATCATTGGGTTAGGTTAACTGCAACCATAAGATATAGTTTTAACCATAAGAAATACACTGCCGCCTGCTTTATTTATATAGAGAAAGCATTTGACTCTGTATAGCATAACGGTTTAAGATGTTAATTGAAACAATTAGAACTACCAACAGGTGTTATTCACTGATTGTCTAACTTCTTAGAAAATATCGAGTAAATGTGGTGGGAGTATTTTACTCCCGAGGAGAATGTTCCAAGAGAGGGGTAGTTAGCCCTATCCTTTTCATCATGCGTGTAAGCGACAGGCCATTTAATGATCCAAATTTTAGTTCAACATCACAAATTGCAGACGATATGGCAATTTGGAAGGGCTCTTCAACTCCTTCTATAGCATCTACAAATGTACAGCCTGTTCTGGACCAAATGGTCGAATACTGTCAAAAACACGTGACAAAAATAAATGTTACTAAAACAAACCTTGTTCTTTTTTCTTCCAAAATCGAAGATTAAGAAATCCTTCTGAAATTTACCTAAACGAAGCTCTTCCAAACGTTGTCACATCGGCAAAACTTTTAGGTATAACTTACGAGTCAAAATTAACATGGAATAAACATATCACCCACATTGGGAATAAGGCATGGCATCGAGCAAACTACGTTAATATATTAACAGGTAAAAACACAGGAAAACATAATCAAATCTACAAACAATATATTAGATCAGTCATGGAATATGCTTGTTCTGCCTGGACACATCAGCACCTACATATATACAGAAACTACAGACCACACAGAGCGGAAAAATCACCACAGCCTACAGAGTACCAAGAACAACAAATACAAATTTCATACATAAATACGCAAACATCAAAGCATTCAAAGAAAAACTCGTAGACTGCTCGTTCCATAACCTTGATAAAAATTTATATAAAAACGACTCATTATGATACATGATGATAATACCCATAAATACCTCTCCCCACTTAATGTTTACTATAAGAAAAAAGACCATCTATGTTAGATATCAATATATCGCTTAAAATTAAATATCAATTGTGCACTTAAAAGGGTTTATATATGTGAAATTCCCCATTGATAATTATTTCAGATGAAAAAGTGACTTTTCACTATGGAACTGTTTGTGAGTGTATTCAACCAAACTAAGAGAAATAGAAAAATAGCCTTAAATGCGATAGATAGAAGTGGCTCTGAAGAGGGGAAGTAAAATCAATTTTACAAAGTGTCCTACATTAGTGTTCACTGATTTCTTGGATTACATTCTGATTTAACCTGACCATCCCAGGTCGTGCACAACGACCAAACACCGACAAAGACTAGACGCAGCTAGTCAATACCACTCACCGACAACTCTTGGGCTACTTTTACAAACGCTCTTGAAGCTGAAAAGGAGAGTAACCTACTGATTGCGAGTTGAGCAACCTAACTACCAAGCCATTTTCGATCTTTCCCTCCCCATTATTGAATGTTATTTATGGATTAGAAGTTTGGTTATCTGTGCGAGTACATTATACAAATTGCTGCATCTTTTATTGTACTTGCGAAAATCAAAGCATCATGTTGCTCATACAAGTCAAATATTGCTATAATTTTATACACCAACATGATACTTACGATTTAATGGGTGAGTGACCAGCTAAACAGGTTAACTTTTGGTTCAATTGAAATAATTTCAGATAATGAAATTATTTAATCTTTATTTTTTTTAATTATCCCTGGAAATACCAACTGGGTCCCATGGCCACAGTCAAGATAAATAAACAAAATAAATGTATTTACAATTGTGCATATTTTACTCTTTTTTTCTTTTCTTTTTGCATTGCTATACCATTGTATTTATTAAAGTCTGAGTCCATTAGGCTTAGGAAATAAGAAGAGTTACAAAATATACCTTGTCGTTCACGGGTGATAAAACCGTAAAGGATAACGGAATAAAGATATTCTCATAAACATATAAAGCTATATCTGATTATTTGTGTGTACTTAATATATTTTTAATGCTCATTTTCGCCCTTTTTCTCTCTTTTGTCAAAGAAAAGTAGAAAATAAATGGGGTAAAATTATGAAGTTTAATGTCTGACCTAACATTTAGCCAAAATCTAGAGATTTAGTAAACAAAAGTATTCATTTCAGAGCCGGTGCAATCACTGGGCAGTTACCTCGGGCAGCAAAATTTGTGTATAAATTATGGAATAACACAAAATTTTCGGGCGAAAATGATACTGTAATTCAGTATTGTTTGAAGCTATAGGAAGCTTTAATCAGCATGGAGACTAGAGATATTGATGCTGCAGATTTGTATAGTGAACTGAAGGCAATTGCACGACGGCTGTCTGAACGTACGTCACTGCAACATGTCTTGAAATTTGTTTTTGAACATAAACTGATAAATATGATAAATAGTCTTTCAAATACATTTATTGCTCTCCATATTCTTAGACATCCATTGTTTCGGTAGCCAGTGGTGAACGAAACTTTTCAAAGCTTACATGAATAATAACCTATATTTGTTGCTCAATGATGCAAAAAAAGATTTGTCGGATTATCCACCGTGTCAGTTGAATACGAACTTCCAGAAAAACTTGATCTCAATAAACTTGTTTCTACGTTTTCTAAACTCAAAACACGAAAAGTAAAGTTTTGATTTTTCAGTTTTATCCTAGCAGCATTACCCTACGATCCTTATAACATAGTTTATAAGAATATGTTGACTCAATTACATCATCTATCCAGAGCCACCAAAAACTTTTGAACAAAAAGGTCTTTGCAATTGTTACTGTTTTGATGTAGATCAAATCAAATCAATATATTTGGATTTTGAAATTTTTTTGATAATTACATATTTTGCTACACATTGAAGAGGGGGTGAGGTGCACAGCCTCAAGGTTTGCCTAGGGCGCCATATACCTTTGCACCAGCTCTGATTCGTTTATTAATTTATCATTTCACAATACAACATAAAACTAATTTTCTTATTGCTAATTTTTTGTTCTTTGGGTCAAAACGAAATTAGTACGTCCCAGTCCATTTTTTAATTTAAGGCTTACATACCACTGAGTTAAGACTTCATTGAGAGAATTTTGCCTATAATCAGTAACTATGGAAACCAGCAAACCAAAGAACACTAGAAACTTCTTAAATTTGAAACTGTAAAACTATTTATTGTCGATGATTACAAACTTTCTAACTACCTTAAACACAATATTAAATTTAAAAAATAAAAGTTTAACAACTTCCAGTAACAGTGAATTAACTTATTTTAAGAAGCAAGTCTAAAAGTTTATCTGCCTAGCCTACTTAAACAGTAGCATATAGGTATAAGCCTGCCCCCTCCCAACTAACAGAATTTGTATTTTAGTCAACATTTTTAAGAGTAATCTCTATTTCTACAACAGAGAATTCCTAGTTTGTTTCAAACAAAATTTTTGTAATGTTATCTCGTTTCACTTTAGATGCAAATAAAAAAAAACCTTGGTTATATAAACAACTCTCAAAACAGAAAAGAAACAATACTACTATGAAAATTCCAACTGCTGTTCGTTCAATACTTGTGCAAATATATATATCACTTCAATCATAAAACATTATCCAAGTATATAAAAATAAGTTCCAAAAACAACCTTTGTATAGACCTCCCCTACTGAAAAATTAAAAAAAAGAATTAATTTTTAACAATTTCTTCAAGCAACTAACTGAGAATTAAGGATGTATTAATGTAATTCAGTTGAGAAATATGGTTTCAATAAAATATTTTAAATTACTGAGGTGTAATCTTTGTCTACCTGATGATGCAAATGGAAAGTTTAAACAAAAAGTACTCCAACCAGAAAAAACAACAGGAGGGTAACTTACATGTATACTTCTGGCACAGTTCCAACCCCCTCCCAATAAAGATAGTTGTGTGTGTGTTTTCTTGTAGCAAAGCCATATAGGGCTATCTGCTGTGTCCACCGAGGGGAATCAAACTCCTGGTTTTAGCATTGTAAATCAGAAGACTTACTGCTGTCCCACTGGGGGACAAAGATAGTCATATAAAAGAAAGAAAACTGTAGTAAATTCTTATACCAACTTGCACAAAAAGTGTTCGTGATTAGATAAAAAAAAAAACGTGCAGGCGAGATGTTGTATCTGGACTAAATGTATCTTGTGTTGCATTCTTCAGAAAGTGAAATAATGTAAAGGAACTTTGCAGTGACAGTTGTGAATTGTGGACTGCTACATAAATGATATCTTTTGATTTTTATAACTCAGTAAAGTATTCTTGACATAATTAGGTTTGTTTTGGGTATAAGCCATTAATGTTTATTTCAGTGTTTTGGCATGTTTTTATTTATTACTACTAAAAACTCAAGACAGTTTTGATCAAGAAATCAAAAACATCTAGTAAAAAAACTGAAATGCTGTTGATTGATTGATTGTTTATAGTTAAGCACAAAGCAACATAATGGGCTATCTGTGCTCTGCCCACCATGGGTATCAAAATCTGGTTTATAGCATTGTAAGTCCACAGACATACCACTGTGCCACTAGGAGGCTAAAGTACTGACAAAAGTTGCAAAATTCACACTTTGTAGGATTGAGATTAAATTTATATATATATATATATTTATATATATATATGAGCATTATTTTTGTTTTAAGATTGGCAACCAAAAACATTTAATTCTTACATAAATCTGCAGTTACAAAAATCTGTAATGTTTCTAAATTCATCAAAAAAATATTTACATAATAAAATATAATTATTCAGACTTGAATTTAATTTATGCATTTGTACTTACATAGATCTTCAATTTATTAAACCTTAACAGAATTACAGTGCAACTGAGGTAGACATCCAAATAAAAAGCTTTTATTTTTCATGTCTGTATCTATATATGGAAGTCTTGCTAAGTATCCTATAATTAATGTTCATTTTCAAACACTTTTTTAATTATCAATGAAATGATATTTAAATACTTTCAAAATTATTGAGAACATTAATTACAAAAGACTACTTGCTACTACAAATTCATGAACAATTAATTACCCCAAAAACAAGTTCACAATAGAACTGTAAATGTCACACATGAGCTGGTTGTATAGACACCAATATAAAAGTGCAGAGACTGCACACAAAAAAAGAACAAAATTTTGTAAATAGTTTTGACACCCTACAGACAACAATAATCTGTACAAGTTGATTCAGTGATAATCTTCATTACCAACACCTTTCTTTAAATTGCAAAACACACTAGCCTCTCAAAAACAAGATTAGTTTCTTTCATTCCTTAGAGGTTGAGTTGTCCACTGGCTTTAATTGAAAGTTGGAGGTAAAAACCAAGTTAATTACTATGCATCTTCTACACCTACTCATGTTTCTCATTATTAGAAGTACTGAGATTCTTTCCAAAAACTTTTATCTATTTCAATAAACCCCACAAATGTCTATAAATAAACAGTTGATAGTAATAATGGTTAAACATTGAATTCTAAATAAAGTATTGTAGTATTTTTCACGTGATTTAACAATATCCACTTACAAAAGTTATTTGAATTAAATACTTTTACGTTTGTGAAAAAATACTCACAGCTTTGTTAAACATATCCTAATAATATGAATACTATTAAACTCACCTAGTCAATTGGGAATGCTTTGTTGATAATTCTAAAGCTTAATCTATTGATTTAATTTTAAAACTTTTTTCATTTCTCCTTCAATAAAATAAAGGAAAATTTTAAGTGGACATTTTTCATTTAATGTGTTTATGAACAAGAACTATAAAAATTCAGCCAAATGTTATGTTGTTTGTTAACTTTTCCAGTAATTTTAAAATACTGAGCAAAAAAAGGAGCACAATTTTACCCATTTTTCGTCAGATATCACATTTTTACTTCATTATTAAATATAAATTCATAAAGGAAAAATAATAACAACTGACATTAATTTTTTCAACAAGCTGTATTTTGTGTTCCACATGTTCAAACTTAGAAATTTACAAAAAAACAATACTAAAATTACAAGTAGGTAGTAAGACATACTGCTGAAAGCACAACAATATTTAGGTATATACATTTAATTATGCTTTATTTTCAAAGCAAAATCTAAAAACAAAGGTTCTGGGGTCTGCTTGCACGATAACTTCAGGGTCAAACAATTCCACCACCTTCACATTAAATGTTTCAACTTTCTGTGAACCAAAACTGAAACTGAGTACAACCACCCCATACACAACACATCACTTTGTCAAACATAACTGAAGTCATGAAGTCAACCCAAATGACTTAATTCCTGGATACAGCTGGATGTTTACCCTTTTTCATTATCAGACTTCTACGTGCTTGGATGGTGGTGAGGTGATGAAAGGTTCACTCCACATTCGTCTTAGGTCTCCCTGAAACACACACCAGTAACAATCCTAATTTGTTCACAACTGATGATTATTTAGTGGATCATTTTGATAAGTTGATAACCAGTCATAAACACAATAATAACGTAGCTAAAATAGCATTTATGGGAATTTTCACTCTTTAGATACATTTTTAAATATTATATTTGTCTTTCACCAAAAACAATTAAATATGAAACTGTAATAACTTAATTATCTCCAATGATATAAATACCATTCTTAACAAAGTCCAACAAGCAACAAAAGTATAATTTTCATTGAGGGCAAGTCTTCTTTATATTGCTATGGTTTTTTTACTTTTAAAATCCTGTTCATTCAGGGCTGTAGCAATGATGTTAAAATGCTGTACACGAACCTAGGTTTACATGAAGATATCTTAGTGTAATGTAAGCCAATCAAGGTTTGATATGAAGATATATTGGTGTAAGCTAAGCTGACCTAGTTTTACATGAAGATATCTTAGTGTAATGTAAGCCAATCAAGGTTTGATATGAAGATATATTGGTGTAAGCTAAGCTGACCTAGTTTTACAATGAAGATACCTTAATGTAAGCTAAGCCAACAAAGATGACATTTTGATGTAAGTAAAGCCAACCTAGCTTTACATTAAGAAATTTTGATGTAAGCTAAACCGACAAAGGTTTTTACATGAAGACATTTTACTGCAAGCCAAGCTGACCTAAATTTACATGAAAACAATTAGGTGTAAGCTAAGCTGACCTAGGTTTACATCAACCTTATGGTTACGGGTTGAATCCATTTGGCTACTTTTCGTATCGAGAATGATATGCAGTTCAACAATACTTATGATAACTCTTAACTTTCTTAATATATTTTCACAACAATTGATAAGATTTTTGTTAAAGATCACAAGTATTTTGTACACAGAGAATGAGCTTGTTTTAATAAAGTATCTTAAGAAAGATTTGTTATTTTTGTACCATAGTTATTTGCACTCAGACTCTGAATATTTCAAGCATTATCATCAACATATTGTACAGTGAAATGTTTAAGATTAAAAATAGAAAAATATTTACATACTTTTTAATTTTTCATTAAATAATATTGAAAATCTTTTAGGTTTATATTCTTAATTGTAAGTTTTTACTTTTTCAAAAAAAGTTTATTTTCTTTTCCTATCCTTTAAAATTATTATTTATTGCGACCAACATCAATGAGCATACTCGGGGTTTCCTCAGCAGGGACACTTTAATCATCTTCAGAATGTTGGGACATTTGCCTACAACACTAAGCCTGACAAACTGAGGTAGCTTGGCTTATGTTTTAAAAAAATATTAAACCTTTCTTATACACATTTTAAAACATAAGTAATGCATAATTAACTAAAATATAAAACTGAACCCTCAATAAAATTTAATTGTTTATCTAACTAACATATTTATAGGTAAGAACTAACACTAAAGCACTAGTGTGGATGCAAGCAGCAACAATGCTTAGAGCTTTTGATGAGTTCTATATGGAATTCTTTATGCCAATTTTAAAATAAATGTTGGTAAATAGTATTTCAAAATGTGGTATTTCCATTGGTTGCAAACACCTAACTCTACAAAGTATAATTGGCTGAGAAATTGGAAATGAACATGCACAGTGTGGGCGTGGCATCTGTCAAGAGTTTCAAAAAATGTATCTCTCTTTCCTCCCAACATCCTATAAGGGACTCGAAAGAAAAATTGTATAAACAGAGCAATTAACCTAGTTTCTGTCTATACAGAGAAGTACAATGTACACAAAGAAATCTTTAAGTTACACAGACGAAACCTAGGTTTACATGAAGATACTTTAGTGTAATCTAAGTCAACCAAGGCTTGACATAAAGACATTTTGCTGCAAGTTAAGCAAAGAAGTATTCTAAAAAGGATGTATTTGTTTCAGATTTCTATTACTTATTTTTCTCTTCCTAAAACTTTCCAATAAAGTTTTTATTTTTTAAAACTAAATTTTATCTTTGTTTCGAATTGAAAATCAATGCATGCAATTTCAGTGTGTTTATGGTCAGTGGCGCATAATAAATTAATTTTTTTTACCAGACAGAAATTACAAGCAAGCCAAAAAATTTTAAATTGTTTATCAGGTTTCACTTAAAGTTAACATTTAAATCCATTTTATGCTCAATTATGCACTTTTTTTTAAAGTTCTTTTTGGTAATTTTCTTTATCCAATCAAGCAGTTGCTTAGACAGATAAGGCTTGATGTAAACATGGACTAACAAACAGCAGCTTAGTTGACAATATAAAACTTAATAGTCAAATTAATAACGATCTAATTAAGCCTAATTTTTAATTTGACCTTACTTCAAGAAAAATATTTGTGTTCATATCATATTACTACATCATAATTCAAATAGTGTAAAATAATAAAGCAAGCTTTTAATAATCTTTAAAAAAAACAACAAAAGGTCTCTAATTGTGACAGAAGTTGTTCACAAAGATCTTTTTTCTCTAGCAACTCATCACCAAGTTAAGCTTTTATCACTTTGCTCCAATTGCCACACAAGTTTCCACTAAATTGGAAGCCACATTGGCTTATACGGTTGAAATGAAGAAAAAAAAAGAGCTTTTATTAAATATTTAAATCACTAAACTATTATTTCTCAAAGCTGAGTTACAGGCAATTACATCAACCCATGACAACCGAAGTTGGGAAACAGTTAATAAGTAAAATTAGTGTTATGTTGTTTAAAACTATTATTAATTTTTGCACAGGGGCTAGGAATGCAATATTATGCCCAGAAAAAAGTCAGGACACTAATGTTTTCACTTGGCGTACACTGAAATCAACACAAAATCAAACTCTACAACTAAAAAAGTAGGTGTAAAATTAAATAAATAATTTTTTTATTTAATTAGTTTCAACTCTAAAGAATTTTTTTAATGTGTTGAAGAATGGTTACAATTTTATTTTCTGTAAATGTATTAATCCTATACATGGTGCAGTTTTGCTCTCAGGCAATGGATGCACTCTGCCAGATATAACAGGAAGACAAGAAACCTTACATAACCACACATAGATTCAGATCTGACCTCACTGAATTATAATATTGGAAAGCCATTATTAACTTTAAATAGCAGCTTTAATTAACTTCTCATGCCACACAATTTGATTTTAGTTATTTACTTGTTCTCAGAAGAGTAAACGTTAACTGAACTACTTATGGCACACAACTAGATCTTAGTTATTAACTTGTTCTCAAAAAAAATAACTTTAACTGAACTTCTCATGGCACACAACAAGAAATATACAAAAAAATCATGTATGCAGAAGTAGGAATGATAACTGACCTTTAAATAGGCCATTACAAACAAAGGAAGAAGCGTGAAGGGTACCAGATACAGCAGAGCTGGCTGAGCTGCTTTAAATACTTCAGCTGATACTGTTGCTGTCAAAAGACCTACAAAAACAAGATAATAATAATAATATGAAACAGGAATAGACAAATTTATATTACCAGTACTTTGTAACGGTAGTACACTTAAGACTTTGAAATATAAGAAAATGATACTATTAAGCTGAATTGATACTATGACTATTGCTATAATGTTACAAAGGCTGAGATACTTTTTTAAAACTTTATCTAATTAAAAACAAGATTGCACCTCCAAGAAGGATACTTACTACAAACTGTATCAAAAAGAACATAACTTTTCTTTGTTAATAAGCTCAGAGAATATCTTATTATAACAATCACAGTAAATTTTAAAGAATAAGCTGGGCAATTGGTCGAATTTGATAATTAGTTAGTCCTTCTAAACTAACTGACATATTAATACTAAATATTATGGAGAAGACTCCATGAACTTTGTACTGATTTCAGAATAATATATAATTAGCCTTTCTAAACTCCACTCATACCAAGTTAACTGTTTAACAATATTGTAAACAGGTAACAAAACCAACTACAATGAAACCAAATTAATTTATCTTTTTAAAAGATTAGACTGAAATGTGGTAAATGTGGATATACAATAATATAC